AGATGTATGTGTATGTATATATACATATACATATACATATACATATACATATACATATACATACACATACACATACACATACACATACATACATACATACATACATACATACATACATACAGCACTTTTTGCACTAGAACCTTGATTAAAACGGAGAACTTTGGCTTCCTACAGCAAACCCTCAACCCGGCCTGGAGGAAGCCAGAAATCCCAAACCCGGCAGAGGTGGTTCTCAAAAAGCAGCTCGCTTCCTTGCGGTTTAGGGTTTAGGGTTTAGGGAAAGCAGCTCGCTTCCTTGCGGTTTAGGAAGCCCCTTAGACCCTAAACCCGTGGCGTGGCATCCCAGAGGGTTCAGGCAACAGTAGAGTACCCGTTTACCTTGTCTTGGGGACCCAAAGATCTACTGCGACTACTATGTTGGCACGTGGGCCTTGAGGGCCTCTGGAATTCAAGGCTTAATTAATGCTTAAGACTTAAGACTTATCTGGTTCTCCCGACGCTCCCGGTATACCAACCGTGCACATTATGGCAGCTTCATGCACTTTCAAACTTTGAGCGCTACCGATGTCAGGGGCAGTCTGGACATCGGGGGTTGAGGCATGGACTCGGGTTTTGGCAAGGCTTCGGACTTCAAGCTTTGGGTGAAGGGCGAACAGCAGGAGCAGACGGCAGCAGCAAATAGTAGAAGTAGCAGTAGGTGTAGTACAGTAGCAGTCGTCGTCGTAGCGATAGTATTGGGATGTGGCGTGCAGTAAGCCGTGCTCGCAGTCGTCGCGTATTTCGTGCTTATCACTTCTTCAGGGTTCTGCATAATGCTGGTTATGCTTTCGGCATGTAGCGGCAACAACGGACCAAGGTTTTGGCTGAGGGCAGAGGAAGGCATTTAAGAACGATAAACCCTATGCATGCAGTAATCAGCAGTCTCAAGAAAAAACTATGACCGTAAACAACAGCTTAAGCCTTAGTTAAGCATTGATGCACTTCGGCATGGACAACCGCACTGCTCCCAACATGCAGTCTGATAGTATAATGCTGATTGAGCAGGGGTTTCGGACAGGGAAGGGGGTGAGAGCAAAGCTGTGTGCGTCACAGGTCTTGCACCACCCAGTTCTGGTGGATGCTGACTCTGAAATCGTCTTCGGGAGCCCATCGTTTCAGTTTTCTAGCGTCAGTTTCGGGGGGCGAGGGGGGCAGCTTCAGTCCGACTCTTGCAGGTCAGGGCCTGAAGCTGAAACTCCCAACTTTCGCCCAGCGGCCCACATTTGTGGAATATATCGCTCGCGCTAGAAGGTCGCGGACCTGCTCCTGTATTGGCGCTGCATATTTAGCTGCCACGACCAACGCCTGCTGTGCCGAATGCAAAGATGCCAGTACAGACCACAATGGGTTGACCGCCTGACACTCCAATATCACAATCACCATTCAGCACGCGCTGTTCTGACACAGATGAATGCACTGTCGTCATCAAGCTCATCATCATGCGAGCATCAATATCAACATCGACTCCATCGTCATCAGCATAAACAACATAATCAACACAATCTGCACCCCCTCAGCAACAGCGGCAGCAGCAGAGCAATGCTGTCAATTGCAACCACCAGATCGCGGTCACTTGTGACCTCCTCAGTTCCATCATCTGCAACGATTGGCGGCGATAGGGCCGGGCAGGGGTGGGGGACGGGGGATGAGGGTGGGGAGGGTGATGACATGCGGGCCGGATGAGTACATTGGTTCTTTGTGCACTCTTGCACGGTCAACTGAGATGTGCGGGTCTCATGGGTCCAGCCATGCAGTGGAAACCGAGACCCGCCCTTGCATAGATAGCCACCCTCATTGCTTCTGGAAGCACAACCACTTGAGCCCGGAATCTCATCCAGCAAGCCCTGTCAACTTGCCACCCCAACTCCAAGGACTCAAGCCACTTTCCGAAAATTAGGGTACCTTATTTTGGGGTCCTTATAGTAAGGATCCTACTGAATCCTACTATTTAGGGTACTCTATTAGGGCCCCCTATTTTCGGAAACCCCCACATTCATCCTTGGCCGACCTCTGTGTGCTTTGCAGGCTGCTTGATTTCAAAGATCACCTGAGTTTGGTAGCCGTGAGCGGGCGGGGGATCAAACTGGGCGGTTTCGTGCTGAACACCTCCCCAAGCCCTACTCACTGCAGGGGCCGTCAGGACTAGAATTTAGCTTTCGGGCAAAGCAGACTAGAATTTTATAAAGACTAGAAGACTGTTAAGTTCAGATCTCTATGTCACAAAACTCCAAACTCTAAGCCCTCACAGGCTTCCGACTCTTAAAGTCTTAGTAGGTCCCCAGTAACCCCTTACGAATAAGGGTGCCGGCGAAAGGGTGCTACTGGGGAACCTAGCTTATGAAACCTGAGATAGCTAAGCACCCGAAGCTACCAAACTACCGGCCTCTGCAGACCAGCTGGGCCTTGTTAAGGATACCGACTCGCCCGACAAGGGAGACTTTCATGCTGTTGAGCCCCTATAAGCCCTAGCCGCCAACACCCTAAACTCCAGAGCTTTTGGGCTAGCACTCTAAGGGCGCGACGAAAGTCTCAAACATGGCGCAAGCTTTTTGAAGAAAGCACGCGGAGCCCCAGCTGATTTTGAACCCTCTACCCTAAACCCAAAAAGCCCTAGGGCTCCAGTTACCTAAATAGTGTGTTACTGACCATATATTATGTACCCCAGTAACCTACTATTTAGGTAACTGGAGCCCTAGGGAAGGACAGAGGGGACAGAAAAGGTGGAGGTTACGAAGAGCTCAGAGTCGAAGGTGTAGGCCGAGCTCTCGTTGCTTTCAAGTTCTCAGGATCGGTTTTTAAGTTAAGAGTTTAGGGTTTAGGATTTTTGGCTTAGAGTTTGAGGTTTAGGATTTTTGGTGTAGGGTTTAGGATTGTTGGTTTGCATTAGGATACCATAGGTGCTGTGCGCTGTATGCTGGAGAGAGGGCTAGGGCGCTTTCGGTCTGAGCCTCAGGTTGTAAGGACTTGGACTTCGGAAGCGGAGCCTCTTGATGGATTAGGGACTAGCCTGTAGGGGATGCTTCGCGCTCTTGTCCGTAAGCCCTCTGAAGATTGTTTATGGCGGTTTCGACTCATGGAGTAGCCTTAAGGGTCCAGATACCTCTTAGTATAGGGGTTTGGGTACCACAAGGGAATAAATAAGGATTACTTGGAGCCTCAGATTAGGCATCCTTGATACTTGGGAGCTACAATGAAAGGGGCCCAGCCACTTGCCTGTACACGCTCTCGCCGATGTTTCTCAGTTGCCACTCTTTTCCGGCCTCGACAAAGAAGACCTCCGGAAGTGGGCTCAGGGTCACAGTTTCGGATTAACCCTAAACCCAAAACCGGATTAACGGGTTAGGGTTCGCGGTTGCTGTTCGGGTGTGGGGTTTGAGGTTGCCGGTGTAGCTTTTGAAGCTCGAGGTTGGCGTCACATTTGCTTCTAGACTCTAGCCTCCAGACTCCATTGGGCGGGTTTGGACGCGGTTCAGGGCGGTTTCAAGGGCTTTTGGCCTTTTTGGATTGTGGATTCATGAAAGTAACTGTGAATCCTAACAACCAGCACCCCTAAACCTTCCATACAGCATCTGTTTCAACAGAATGACATCATCTTTTTTATGACCTGGCTTGGCTTCGAAACCCTTCACCGGCTTAAGACTTTCATGGCCCTAATCCCTATGCTCCAGTTTCTGAACCCAGAACCCCAAAGCCCCAAGCACCGACACCCTAACATACCAAAGCCCTTGCCTTCTTATCGGTATCATCTTCGGGGCCGGCACCACGGTCGGCACGTCCTGGATCCACTTGCCAGCGCCTGCGTTCGAGATTTGGATTTCAGGGTTTTGGGAACCCTACACCCTGAACCCCTAAACTCTAAACCCCCCAAACCCGAAACCTCCTGAACCCTAAACCCTTTGTTTGCAGACTTGTTTTATGGGGGTTGTCGACTCTTGGGGTTGCTTCAATGTGAGGCTATACAGCTTCGGGTCTATAGGGTGGAGGGTGTACAAGTCTCTAGTTTAGGATCTGGGCTGTGAGGTTTTGGTTGAGGGTGTCGGGGTTTTAGCAGTCAAGACTTGAAGTTCTAGTGTCGTGGTTTAGGAAGTGAAGATTACCGTACACCGCACGTAGAGCTATGCCGTTCATACGCTGCAAGCAGCGAGGGTCCAAAAACCTACCTCGATAGCGCCGTACGGAAAAACGCCGCAGCTCCCAAATGGCCACCTAGTTAAGACTGAAACCCTAAACCCAAAAAACAAAACCCGGGTTAAACCCTAAGCCCTAAACCAAACGCTAGAATGCCTACTAACCCCAAAAACCCCAATGCCGGAGAGCGGGTGGGTGTCCCTGTTGCTTCGGCTACTTTCGAGTTGGTAGCCAGGGTTCGGAGACAAAAGGTTCCTTGTTTAGCGGTTAGGATGGGTGATAACGAGCCGCGCGCCCCAAACATACGAGGTTTCTGCCAGCTCTGCAACCCTGCACGCGAGATATCACCTTGAAAGCTCTTGCTGGGAGCTCCGGATCTCTTCGCACATCTCTGACGAATTCTGTGGCCCCTGCCCTGCACCTCGAGAGCCTCTGCCTTCTAGAACACTACCAAATCCTACAAGTTTCATGAATTAAATCCAACCCTTCTAACAAACACATGCTCACAAATCGTGCTCGCCCGTCCAGATTCCCCGCAGCAAATCGCACTCCTGGCTAAATGCCCGAAGCTACTGTAAATGTCAAGGCTAAATACCCAACCCCGATCCCGAAACCCTAAACCCAATAAGACATAAGTAGCTCTCCAAAGTAGGGCCCGTTTTGGGGTCCTTCTTTTACGGGTGCCGTACAGTTTTGGGGACAAGAAAGAAACCCTAATTAGTTAGAGAACTACCCACATAGCAACCTAGCCGCACTGTTGGCAGGTCGTGGCGGGCGCAGAAGGAATCGCCCGGGGCCAAGCGGAAGTCAGATACACGAATGCCTCGGAGCTTCGATAATTTAGGGGCTTTAATACTACTTAGAATAAGGTTTTGGAGTGCACTATACTATAATTATAATAAGGAACTCCCAAAAAAAACGTAGAGGTAAAATTATCAAGGCCCCTACAATGCTGGGGTCTGGGGTTGAGGAGGTTCGGGCTTCGGATAGGGCTTAGGGGCTTCTAGGAGTTGTCGAATGGTTTCGGCTCTCAGACTTGGACAATGCGGGCGAGGCTTTGGGGTTTAGGGGTTCAAGGCTTATGGGGTTTAAGGCCTTGGGGTTTAGGGTGTTTTTGCCTCCCACCTTGTGGGGTTTAGGGTGTTTAGGGTTTAGGGTTGCTCAAATCACACGCAAGTATAAGGCGACTATCTACGACATGCACCCAAAACCTGCGCCGAAGACTTACACTCGAAAGCCCTGATGAAAAGTCGAAACCCACTAGCCCCGAACACTATTCTATAAAGCACGAAAACAACAAACTAGGTCCTTAGGTTGGCCCTCGACAGCCTATGAAAACCGTTCCTACCTAGCAAGAGCATCTTAAGCGAAATATGGGGGACCATAGGTGACACCCCAATGCCCTGCCTGCTCAACCCTGCTGCTTAGACTAAATAGACTTGCAAGCCTCACTCTAGAAGCCTCGCCTAAAGGAACAAGTCGAACATTTCCTCCATGATTCTAAAGCGCCGTACACAAAACTCTCTAACCCTGTAGGAGCCGCCTTATATACCCCTTATGTAGTCTCACAAAGCCCCTAATATAACCCCAAGGCTCCCTTTAAGGGTCTCGACACCAAGTCGCGGTCGTTGTCGAACAGGAGACGAATTGGGTCAGACTTGTCGCCGCCTTCGGCCATGCCTCTGACCTTCTCTTTCCCTAAGGGTTCAAGTACTCATTATTTAAGGACTTTGGGGCCTTTATGGGTACCCAAAACCATAAATAAGGACTGCTTGGACCCTTAGGGTTTTTTAGGTGGGTGGATGGGTGGGTGTGGCGGGTGGCGGGGAGGGGGAGGGGGAAGACTGGGGTGCTTGGATTCTGGGCTTAGGCTTGTTGGGTGTTATTTTTGGGTAGTGTAGGGGTGATCAACCTGTAACCTGAGGGTCCTTTAGATGGCTTGTATAGGGGCTAGACAAAGTTCTGTACATGCTGCTTTTGTGTTTAGAGCCTTGCATACGGATATATGTGTGTGTATATATATATATATATATATCACATCGGTATGGTCTTAGCATTGTGGGGCTCTTTCTGCAGCGGGGAGCAGTGGGCTTAGGTTTTGGGGGTTTTCGGAAATTGGTTGCAGAACGGAAATGAGCTGAGTGGGGAGGGTGTGTATGAAGGCGCTAAAGAGCCTTTAAGTATCTTGACAAGAGTCTGCACTGCTAACGTAGGCACCTCACTTCAAAGTAGCACGTTTGGCGGAGGAGCGGGGGTGAAGTCAAATCCATGCTCAAGTCTACACGAAACAATAATGTCCGAATAGTCGGAATAGCGAGAATTGGCATCAGCATCAGCGCGAGCCCTAGAAACACAGAGAAGCTAGTCGCAGCCGCAATGCAAACATCATATAGCAATGACTGCAACTCCTGCTGACCAAAACTCACAAAAAGTAATGAGATACTGAGAATACGTCAGAGTTCCCGAATCCAAGATCGGGAATGGCAATCATGGAAAATGGGACAGATGACGTTGAGGCTACCCTGCACGCTTGCAGACTCCAAACCCCGAACCTCAGAGTTTATAAGCCTCGAACCCCAAAAGGCCTAAAGCCTACCTGAAAGCAACCGCTCTGAAGCCCTGAAGCCCTCGACCCTGACAGTTCCACACCCAGGTCTCTGACGATAGCTCGCAGGGGTCCGAAACCCTCAATCTATCCGAGAGGAACCCTTCTAAGAAACTCTAATTTAGAGAAGCCCATAAAGGAGCCCTTAAGGGAAGCCTTGTTGGAAACCTTGAAGGAAACCCCTGTAGCATAGGTAGGTTCAATCCGAGAAGCCTTCTGGGTAAGAAGCCGTTGCGGAGGGGATCTCCAGCCGGCAAATGCCTGCTTCCCGCTCTACGGAGGCTCTGAAAGACCCTCAAAAGAGGGACTGAGTCAAGCGTATCGGTTTTCGTTCCAACATGGAGGTCTGTGAGGACTCCAATGAGGACTGTATTTGCGTTTAGGGTTGAAGTGTCGTCCCTTTGCTTGGTCACGTGTTTTTTTGCTAGGACTTCAGCAAAGGTATCCAGATCAGTACCACACATTCAGGGTCTAAGAGTCTAGGCGGAGTTTACTTGAAGGTTCATGGATCAATGGGGCTACAAGTCCCCTCATACAGGCCATAAGTGACTAGACTATAGCTACACTTACCCACTTATAACTGCCCATGAACGTCCAAGTAGGGTCAGGCATTGAACCCTGAAAACCAAGCCTCCCCAGCTCCCAGCAGCCTGAACCCATCCTCATGCCTTTCAACTTCGAGTCTAAGGTTTGGGGCTTGAGCTTTAGCACCTCCTAAACGCTTCAACCCTAAAGCCCCAAGGTTCCTAAAACCTTAAACCTCAACTTTACCCTAACCTCCCAGGTACCTACTATATATGCTACTGTAGAGCCCCTAGGGCCCTATATAGCAGGTACCTGGGCGGTTAAGGTTAGGGTTTAAGTGAAGATCCAATGCAGAATGATGCGCCCGACCGCCAGGGACGAAGCAACGAAGCACCGTCACTGCGGCCAGCAGCCGGAGCAGCGCGCGCATGCTCCGATCCACCGTTCCAGTCGCGCTTTAAAGCTTGAAAAGGGTTTAGGGTTCAAGGCTGAGGTGTAGGGGACGTTTTAAGTTTCCTGCACCTCAACCCTATATCGTGATTGTGTGCCTCGAAAGGCCGTTGTGGTTGCGTAACTTGCCAGATATGTCTGTTCGTCTGTTCAGTAGATCATCGAAGCCCCTCAGCAATCCTCAACTTAGGTGCCATTGCTCGAGGTACAGAATCGTTACGTTATATATGGGCCGGACTTCACAGAGTCGAAGCTGCACGCAGTAGAAATGGCAGTTTCGCTTGTTTGGGATGCATCCAGGGGGAACGCAGTTGCATTTCACATCAACGGCTTTTGGCTGTGTCGGCATGTTGACTTGCCGATGGACTGATGCACAACCTTATCAAAAGATGAGCCTTCAACGTTCAGCATGTGGAGACCATGAACAACTGCAAAAAAAGCAGACGTATGTATGTATGTATGTATGTATGTATGTACGTATATGTATGTACGTATATGTATATGTATATGTAGGTGTAGGTGTATGTGTATGTGTATGTGTATGTATATGTATATGTGTATGTATGTATGTCTGTATGTCTGTATGTATGTATGTATGCATGCATGTACGATACAAAGAAAATGCTTCATGATGCCTGCAAATGACATGTCATGGTGTAGTCTACCTCCAGGGAGCTCCTCGTTCGTTGCAGAGCGAAGCTGTGAGCTGCTGTGCCTGAAGACTAGCCTGGATGCCAAGATTTTTAGGGTTCTCGGTTAGTTTAGGGTTTAATTTGGGTGCCAAGAGCTCATCCCAAACCCCGAACCCCTTAAAACCCCCTGGTGCATCCTCATATCCTAAACCCTTTCAAACCCTATGGTGTAAGTGTGCGCATTCCGGGCTCCGGCCCATCCCCTGTCAACGCAACGGCGCCTCGGAACCGAAACCATCCCCAAACTCAAACCCGGTAAAAAGCCAACCCGGTAATAGACCCCGCCCCAAGTGCCCCTTAATCGAGCCCCATTGGTCCTCAATCGTGGAGATGTAGGGTAAAACAGATAAAGGGTAGTTGAGGGTCTAGGTAACCCCCCCCCGGCCCCCCCCGCCCCGAACGTCTCCGAATGCAAGCGATTTTTTTGTTATGCAGCCCTTGCCGATGTCTGTGGTGACGAAATCGTAAGCCTCAGCAGCACGAAGACTACCCAACGCAGTGCTATTTCGGGTTCAGGGTTCATTGAAGGCGTTACTGTGTTAGGGTTTGGGGCTTACATGCTTGGGCTATTTTGGGTTTAAGTTTAGGGTTTCGGCTATCTCCCCTGGACAGTTTTCGGGGGTCTGTTTCTCATATCATGGGGCTCAGGGGTTGTGCTTCGGCTATGGGCTTTGCGGCTTACATAGGCTTTGGGGCTGTGAGGGCTTAGGATTATCAGCCCACAAACATTCCCAGCGCTAACGGGCCTTGTCTATTGGGCAAATCATTCAGGAACCGTTCGGGAGCCAATCGGAAATGATCAGGAATGCTCGGAACTGTTCGGAACCGGTTCGGAACCGCGGTTCGGAACTGGCAAACAGCGTCGTCTAGGTGAGATTACGCCAAGGTCAATGATCGATGTTGTCTTGCCACACTGCACTATTCCAGGCAAAAACCCACTAAATCTTAGCTTAAGCAGCTCCTCAACGTCAACCCTAAACCCTACCCTAAACCCTAAACCCCAAACCCCTAAGCCCCAATACCATTTGTTAGAACTCCCTGGAAGCGCCTGGATCTCCAGCCGGGTTTCCAGACGTCCTTGCTCTCTCCTGCTTGAGAAGTACTTCGGGGCTTAGGGTTTGGGTTTAGGGTTTAGGGTTTAGGGTTTAGGGTTTCGGGTTTAGGGTTTCGGGTTTCGGGGTGTGGGTTTAGGGTTTAGGGTCTAGGGTTGAGAGGGTTCAATCCGTAGTAGGCGAAGGCGAAGACTTGTTCGCAAGGGCCTCGTGTGTAGGGCTTTTATTTTGGATTTAGGGTTAGGGTTTAGGGCTGTAGGGCTTCAATCGTTTACAGGGTTTAGGGCTTAGGCTTTAAGATTCTTCGTCTTGCAAAGGCTCCTTAACCGGGTTCTCTGAAGACTTTTGTTTACAGGTTTCTTTACAGGAGTTTCTTTGAAGTGCTCCTTACAGGCTTACTTACAGGGTTGCAGGGCACGTCCAAGGTTTCTTGGAAGAAGACTTTCATAACAGGGCTCTTTCTATGGCTACTATGGCTCTTCCTCCAAACGAAGGTTCGGGGTTTACGGCTTAATCGGTTCAGAACCTCCGGCTGAAGGGAGATCGGGCTTGGGCTGAGGGTTTAGGGTTCTTGTGAAGAGTGTTGAAAGCTTCTTCCGCCTAGAAAGGGTGAATTAACTGCAGGATTATATGCAGAACCGTGTAGAAGAAGAGGGTTTTGGATCGTCTGGATAGGGTGTTAGGATCAGGCGCAGGTTTTGGAGAAAAGGGCCAAGGGTTTCAGTATTTTGCAGCTTCGGGCGGGTTAAGTGAAGGGTTTAAGGCTTATAGGGTTTAGAGGCGGGTTTAGGGAACGAGATGCCATTATTTAGGTGTTCAGACTTCAGGTGGCTCAGGATGTGCGGGGAAGGCAAGTTTAGCCAAGCTTGATGCCTTCCAGTGTTGTTCGATGCTTCGGTCTCCGATTGCCGGAGACATGCCATGAATCTTGGTTGCATCGAAGATTCAGGACGATAGACAAAGAAGACGAGATGCTTGATTGTTCAACTTTGAGAGGCTTGAGGCCACAAAGGCAGTCTTCGCCAGGATGTCTGAATCGCTCATGTGGACGAACACTGAAACTTCTTGCCCTTCGTAGTCGGAAACGACTTTGAAGACAAATCCAACCATTTCCTCGGCGTTCTCGTAGCAAGCTTGATGGCCACAAGCCTCCCTGTATGTCTCGAACAAGAACTGATCACGTGGATCTTCGAGCCTGTCTTGGCCTCCTTGAAGCTTTCGACAGCCATGTCTGCAACTTCAAAACCGTTTTCGAGTGGAGGGTCCGACCTGATTCTTGGCTGATCCCGACCGTGCTCCTGCCAAAGTTTGTAGCTATGCCGCACCCGTCGCCACCCCCCCCCCCCACAAGAGTGTCTTCCACTCACAGAAGCAGAAGACTTTGCAGAATCCCACGACCTCGGTATGGTTGCAGATGATTCTTATAAGAACAAACTATAATAAACAATATCGATTTCAAGGTGCTGATGATTTCACCGCAATAAATACAACCAGCTAGAACAGCACAGACCGCAACGCTGTAGTACTCAAAAGACCTTGTTTGAATACTGCAGTACAACGCAGTACAACCACACTATGGACTACAAGGACAAGGGGATGTGATTTCTAATTACCCCTAAACCCCGCAAAGGCCTTAAAAAGGAAGGCTTCAAGGGGATATTACGATATACTAATCCCCAGACCGTGCCAATCGCATGAAATGGAACTCTATGAGGGATGCTTGTTATATACTCCTTCTCCAGAAAATCTGAAAAGGGACCCTTGAATTGGATATTGTCACAGTTCGGATATTGCTACTGTTTATTCTGGCCCTGCAACAAACAGCCCCTGTCCAGCCTAATCCTCCTCGCTGTCCGACCGCTGGTGCCTCCAAGGAAAGGGTGACATGCTTAGAGGGCTTACGGTTTAGGGTTTCTAAGGGCTTACGGACTTAGGGTTAGGGTTTCGAAGGGCTTACGGGCTTAGGGTTTGATGGCTTGGGGGTGTGCCCCGACTTATCCCAAACGATGTCGGATTCCAGGCTCTATCGTGGCCTACCGGTCCTGGTGCAATGCCTACACTACCTTGGACGTTGCTATAAGCAGCCTGTCTACAAACTTGTGTATGGAGGCCAAAATAAAGCTGTTGCGATGCTGGCGCTGGACTCGAGCCTTTAGAGCTTTCCACTGGCTGCCTGACTAGTACAGGGCTAGATCCATTGCACGCTATCTTGTTTTTCATACGAGTACGACGACGACAGTTACGTCAGATACAGCGCATCGACAATACATGTACTTATTAGTGGGCAATCTGAAGGCCCATTAGGACCAACATGTTTCTGTGTCATGTGTGGTTGTAAAAAAGACAACACATACACAGAGATACATATATATATAAATGTGCGTGCATGAGTGTTGCTGTTACCGTTGCCTTCTCGCTACCTACCCTTGACTGCGACCAGCTACTAACAAGCCTGCAATCCACCGTCCCGCATGCTCAAAGGCTCCTACACCCCGAATCCTAGACCCAAAACCCGACAGCTCTGAAGGGCCCTGAATTTCTT